GGGTCCAGGTCCTGCCCCAAAGGCCTGAAGCAACCAAGGGGGGCCTGTGTTGATGTCTGTGGCTCTTGTTACCACTGAAGGCCATGCAGAGGCCTGTAGTCTGGGCTGCCACCTGAGGCCATATTGGTATCCAAGGACCACACTGCCATGGGGGCATGCCAATTCGAGTGGCCTGTGCTGCCACCTGGGACTATGGTAACATCCATGCCCAGGCTGCTGCCTAGAACCTGTCTGGGTCCAAAGTTCTACCAAAGCCAGCGTCTATATTTGATGTCCATGGCCCATGTTGCCACCAAGGACTACATAGATGCCTGAGGTCTGGGCCACAACCTGTGGCCATGAGGGTATCCGAGGGCCGTGCCACCACCTGAGCCATGATGATCTGAGTGGCCTGCACTGTCACCCATGGCCATGGTGTCTTCTGGGACAGGGCTGCTGTTAAGGGCCATGTCTGGGTCTATGGCCCTAAAGTAACCAGAGTCTGAGTTGATGTCTGTGGCTCCTGTTACCACTGAGGACTGTACAGATGCTCAAGGCCTGGTCAGCCACCTGAGACCATGTTGGTGTCTGAGAGCCATGCTGCCACTGGGGCCATACTGATCTGGGTGGCCTGTGCTACCACCAAGGCCATGGTGATGTCTGGGCCTGAGATGCTGCCAAGAGTCATATCTGAGTCTGTTGTCCTGCTGCAGCTAGGGTCTGTGATGATGTCCATAGCCCGTGTTAGCACAAGGGGGTCATTGGAAGCATGATGTGCTGAGCCAACCCCACCCTTCACTAGCTCTGGTATAGCTGGTCCTGCTCTTCACTGGATACTGCAGCAGGAAGCTGATCCAGCCTCTCAGGGTAGAGCTCACTCTCACACTAGGAAAAGATGGCCCCATCCCTCAGCACAGGCATGCCCTCACCTGAGCAGCACAACTACAGGTGACCCTGTGGTCAAGGACACAGGTAAGCTGACCCTGAGGGCATGAGAGCCGGAGCGCTGACCCCCTCACCCCAGTCATATGCCACCTACAGCAATTGGGAGAGAGGGCCATCTATGCACCTTGCCTGGGCAAAGCAGTAGAGCTGGCCCTGGTGGTATGAGTGTGGGTGACTTGAATCTGAGGACCCGAGACCAGGAGAACTGGCCCTGCTCCTTGCTGCAGATTGTACTGGGTGAGCTAGCCTGGGCAATGCTGGAGAGCTTGCCCTGGAGGTGTCAGTGAGGGAAAGTGGGCAGGCTGACCAACCCAGCTGCCACCCAGGCCCAGAACCAGGGGTATGAGCTAGCCCACACAAACATCTACCTCATCTATGAACTGTTGGAGCATGTGAAGAGGCCAGACCTACAGATTCAAAACTGCAGGATCTCCATAACACAGGACAACTACAGGATATCCAAGAGGAGTCCCAGTGAGGGCCCAGCATCAGTACTGTAGCAGAAACCAGATGCCTCAAACCAGACCAATGACTCATTGCAATGAACACTTGCAAATAAAGAAGAATGGACTAAGGTGTAAACTGTGTGTCTCAATGGGCCACCCTACAGCTTCCACAAAATTCTTGTCCTTTTTTATTTTGTTTGGTTTGGATTTTTGGTTTTTCTTTTAAA